GATTATGGAATATACTCATTTTCTTGTGCAATAATCTTCAGATGGAGGAACAAATCCAGGAACTTATATGGCAACGAGATGTAGCTCAATCTCAGGTGGAGAATTTGCTAAAATCAACAGCGGAAGAGCGATCATCTTCAAGTTCAATGGACAACAGAAGAATAAGCTACGATTCAACAGATTTTGGTGAGCCTCGTATGCTAAATAACTTGGGGAAGAGTAACTTTTACTCCCCTGATGAGGATGGTTTCCTGCTGGAAGATACTACCCCTCAATTTCCGGGGAATGATCTGCACGAAAAGTGGGAAGAGATGGCTCAAAGAACCTTCCAAGAATCAGAAGATGCTTGCAAAGAAGTTAGATGCATTGAAGTGGAAAGTCAAGAGAAAAGTGGAGAAGCAGAAAGAGTTAAGATCCAAGACTCACTAGAGGACTTCGTTGAAAAGAAAGCCGAGCCATTATCAGCCGAACAAGACTACGAATCTTTTGCAGCCAATGAGAAAGCTGAGACTGAAGCTATGGAGTCAAAGAAGGAAGATGCTGATCCATCTATAAAAACAATTGATATAGAGTTGAGTTCATATGCTAAAATTGAATCCGAAGATGAGCTAACTGAAGCCAAGCTAGTAGAAACCAAAGAGATTGAGCCATCTGTGGAGAAGGAACACATAAAAATGAGTTGGTCAGGACAAACCAAAGAGATTGAGCAATCTGTGGATAAGGAACAAAAGCCATCTTCAAAGAAAGAAGACATGGAGAAGAATCCGTCGAGGGATGAGTCAGAGCAATACGTAGAAATGGTACAAGTGTATGAAGATGATAATACATACGAGGCTCTGAAGGAAAAAGTGAAGGAAATGCAAAAGACAATTGAATACTTTATGAGTATGCAATCATTAGAACAGAGACAATCTCCTTCTTTCAAGATTGATGATAACACAAGTCCAGGAGATTACTTCAAGACGAAAAGAAGCCGAAGCTGCAGAGAGAATCTCCTTTTTACAAGGGCTTCTGCTAGTGGACACTTCACATGTAAGGCCTCTAACACTTCCTTTGATTCAGATAACACCATTGATTCTCAGAGCACGAAAGATTCCGATACGGAGACTAGCAATAGTAGCTTCCATGAGTTTATATCAGGAATTAAAGAAATGGCAATGCAACATGAACTTGATACCGAAACAAAGAAGATGATGCAAGAAAACAGAGACGAGGAATCAGCTAGCGGCGAGACAACAGAGTTTGAGAGACAACAAAGCCAAATAATTGAGCTTTGGGAAGTATGCAATGTACCTTTGGTTCATAGAACCTACTTTTTCTTGCTCTTCAAAGGCGATCCATCCGATTTTGTTTATATGGAAGTCGAACTCAGAAGGCTATCATTTCTGAAGGAGTCGTCGGAAACATTGAAGAGAGAAACTGGCAAAGCACTAACACGTGAGAAAGAATGGTTAGCTAAGCAAATACCAAAGAAGTTTGGAAAAAAGCAAAGAGAAGAAGTTTACAAGAAATGGGGTGTTGAGTTGAGCTCAAAGCAGAGAAGCTTGCAAGTTACTCACAACTTATGGACCAACACGAAAGACTTAGAGCATTGCAAAGAGAGTGCTTCTCTTGTTGCTAGTTTGGTTGGATTTGTTGACTCAAATATGACTCCAAAGGAAATGTTTGGCCTTAGTTTCTCACCTACAACATTCAACACTAAACCCTCTGGCTGGAGATTTACCGACTCGTTCTCTCGTATTAGCTTCACCGGAGGATTATAAAAGCAGATTTTTCAGTTTGTGTATGTATAACAGTTTAAGTGAAGTTGTGAAAGAGTGCTTGGAATCTAACTCTGGTTTTATTTGTGGGTATTTGAATTGCTTTGCCGAATTTTAGCACTTTTTTCTACGAAATATCCATACAAGAAACAATAGTATTTGTACCTTTCAACCAGACAATAAACAATAGTACTTGTAATAGTCGATTTTCTGTGTATGACCATCTCCAATGGAATTCTTCAAAATAAAATAATACTAAAATGAGTTTGAGTTGTTCTACAACCCATTCTCATTTTTTTTTCTTAAAAAAAAAATTTCAAATATATGTAACTGATCAATATGTATAGCTGGAATTGTTAAAGATTAGAGAATTGCTAAATAGTTCGTCGACTTTGGAAAATATGTAAGGAGCATTTTCTAAGCATTTCATTTTTCATGGAGACGAAAAATTATGTTCCCACTAAAAATGATTTTTTATCGTTATAATTATTTTTAATGAAATTCTAAATAAATATTTTGATATTTTATATTATAGTGTATTCAATTTTATGAGAAAAAATTACGATATATGCCAAATTCAAGCATCCACAAATTTCTCGTAACAAGACACTCTTCCTCTCTCCAACCTTCAACATCTCCCAATAAATGGAGTCATATACTCTAACCACCTCTTCCATCTCCTACACCAAACCTCTTTCACCTCTCTTACTCACGGCGGAGCAACCTTCCTACATCCTCCGCAACATCAGCCTCACCTCTCATCCTTCCCAAATCCTTGCCATTGTTGGCCCTAGCGGCGCCGGAAAATCAACTCTCCTAGATATCCTCGCCGCAAGAACCTCCCCAACCTCAGGCTCGATCTTCCTCAACTCCATCCCTCTTAACCCATCCTCTTACCGTAAAATCTCATCCTACGTTCCTCAACACGACGACTTCTTCCATCTGCTCACCGTCTCCGAGACCGTCACTTTCTCTGCCTCCCTCTTGCACCCAAAAAACCCATCAAATGTCTCCAATGCCGTTTCTTCTCTCCTCAAAGAACTTAACCTAACACATCTTGCACACACTAGACTCGGTCAAGGCTTATCGGGTGGTGAACGCAGGAGGGTTTCGATTGGCCTAAGCCTTCTTCACGATCCGGTATTTCTCCTCCTCGACGAACCCACCTCGGGTTTAGACAGTAAATCCGCTTTCGACGTTGTTCAAATCCTCAAGTCTATTGCTACGTCGAGACAACGTACAGTAATCTTGTCCATACACCAACCAAGCTTCAAGATTCTATCTCTCATCGATTGTATGTTACTTCTATCGAAAGGAACCGTTGTATACCATGGAGGGCTTGATTCACTCGAAGGTTTCTTGCTCTCCAAGGGATTCACTGTTCCTCCTCAGCTGAATTCTCTTGAGTACGCTATGGAGATACTTGACGACCTCCATGATCCCTGCACAAACTCCAACATTGCTCTTCCTGACCACTCCCCTAGAAATAAAAATCAGAACGCAGCAAAACCGAGCATTGTTCGATATAGAGCTTCGAGAATAACTGAAATTAGCCTTCTTTCTAGGAGATTCTGGAAGATCATATGCCGGACGAGGCAGTTGCTTCTAACCAACATCTTAGAAGCTCTTCTAGTCGGTCTTGTCTTAGGCACTATCTACCTCAACATTGGAACCGGAAAAGAAGGAATTGAGAAAAGATTCGGCCTTTTTGCGTTCACTCTCACATTCCTCCTCTCCTCCACCACCCAAACCCTCCCGATATTCATCAATGAACGGCCCATCCTTCTCCGTGAAACATCGAGCGGACTCTACAGACTCTCCTCTCACATTCTTGCAAACACTTTCGTGTTCTTGCCCTACTTGCTTCTCATTGCGATAATCTACTCTGTCTCTCTCTATTTCCTCGTAGGTCTATGCCCTTCCTGGCAAGCTTTTGCCTATTTCGTGTTCGTGATTTGGATTATTGTCTTAATGGCCAACTCTTTCGTGCTTTTCTTGAGCTCTCTCGCGCCTAACTACATTGCTGGAACATCTCTAGTGACCATTCTTCTTGCGGCTTTCTTCTTGTTCTCTGGTTACTTCATCTCTAAGGAGAGTCTTCCTAAGTACTGGCTCTTCATGTACTTCTTCTCGATGTACAAGTATGCGTTAGACGCACTTCTGATAAATGAGTACTCTTGTCTACTCAACAAGTGCTTGGTCTGGTTTGACGAAGCCTCTGTGAAAAGCTGCTTGGTTACCGGAAGTGACGTGTTAGACAAGAAAGGGCTTCGTGAGAAACAACGGTGGTTTAATGTCTACGTGCTGTTAGGGTTCTTCGTACTATATCGTGTTTTGTGTTTTCTTGTTTTGATCAAAAGGGTTTCGGGTTCCAAGAGATAAAAAAGTAATAATAATAATATTTCCTTTATGCTTAATTTATATAAGGATTTTTCTTGTGTTCTTCAGACGTCATTATATATGGAAAAAGCAATCTATTGACAAAGAAGTTAAAATATAAAATTCTTTTATCTACATTTTCCCCTCCTTTTTCTCATTGTTCTTTTTTTGTTTTTGTCAACATTGTTCTTCTTTTGTGTTTTTGGAGAAAACAGTAAGTTCTCTAGATAGTCTATAATTTATGTGTACAATACCGGTTCTCTCGATATTCAAAGAGCCTTACTTAAAACTCTTAAGCTATTAACGCTGGTTAACCAGTTACACAGAGAGAATGTTATTGTATTTTGTAGCTTGGGGATAAAAAAAACAAGGGTACAAAAAAGAGATCGTCACGGGTCCACATGACCTTCATCTTCTCTCAAAAATCACATAAGTTTGCAGTTATATATTGGAAAACAAATATATGCGTCCGGTTATTGCCAAAAACTGCTACTTTGTTTTAGTTGAGTAACAATGTTAAATTTAAAATGTTTTCGTTAAATACAAGTAGGAATTTATGATGTTGACAAAAATAAAGTACTAATTTATTATATATTTGTGGCCACTGACCAAGTTGTCATACACAACGCTGCTTCTCGTTTGTATCATGAGTTATATCACGGGCATGCATGTACGCTTCATTGGTCATCCGTGAACTGCTTTCTCTGAATCCCATTTTGTTTAACAAACATTTTATTTTGGTCCGGACCAAGCTGGCTTCCTGACTCAATCATATTCTAAATCCTTTTTTATAATTACTATTTGATTTGCAATTTTAAAGGTTATTCAAAACTCAAAAGAATATGTTTTAATCTTAGTGCAAATGAATCTTGAATTCAAGTCAAGAATAAGGTATGTGTTAGGTCACTGGTATCCAGTTTGGTTCGAAACTGAAAAGAACAAGGAGTTCTTGCTATATATGTTTCTTGAGAAACAAGTTTTAATTAGGTTCTTTAACAAACAAACAAAAATAACAACTTAATCGTTGGTTACTACGCAATAACGTGTTCATTCTCTGAGCGGGCATGTCAACGTAGATTTGCCTGTAAACCAAGATGATCATCCGAAAACCCAACAACCTAATCGTTGGTCATCATCCAATAACGTGTTCATTCTTAGAGCGGGCGCGTGGAGGGAGGCTCGCTCTTAGAGTGGGCGCGTGGAGGGAGGCTCGCCCATAAACCAAAAATTTCATCAGTAAACAACTTAATCGCTGGTAATTATGCAATAACGCAGTCATTCTCGGAGCTAGTACATCGACGCAGACTTGCTTGTAAATCGAAACGATCATCATAAACCAAACTAACTTATCGCTGCTCCTGACAACAATATAATCAATATTCGGAAGTAGACCAATCAACGACAGCCTGCCTGAAAACTAGGACAAACATTGTTCGAATTTAAATTAGTAGCCTTAAAACGACAACATATCTGGATAAGGCTTGCCAATGACGTCTCGCCAGTAAACCATAGTTGCATCAAAGTCAGTAAATATAAACAAGTCATTTGGCAAATCAATAACCAGCCAGGCTCTTCATCGCATCAGCGTCACAGGCTAAAGACTTAACAACACAACGATTCATTCGAAAGACAAGAACAAAAATCATAAAAACTGCATTCATCAGTTCCATCTCATAAAAAAATGATAAATATAACCAAAGGGATACACACCATCCAAGCAGAATCAAATACTATGTCTGAAATCAAAAGCACGACAAAACGCTAAAACAAAAAACCACTAAGACGTAGCCTCATCAACATCGTCGACAATCTCGATGGCTTGCTCAGGATAAGCCTCGCCCGCAGAATATGACGTGTCCTCGTCGCTCGAAGAATCTGAAGAACTTGAATCCGAGGCTACGTCCAACTCATCAGCTCGACCATCGGTCATACTAGCATGCGAAGCCTTAAGGATCTCCTCAAGTTCGTGCACATGCTTGGCAAACACTTTTCCTGCAAGTGACAAGCCCGCTTCTTATTCTTTAAGAGCTACTAGTTCGTCACCAAGATCAGGCACCTTGTCACTTTGAAGCAACTTGACAAACTCAATGTTACTCCAGATCTCTGCAAGATCAATTATGTAAATCCTCGGCTGGTGATTGATCACTCCGATTTTCTCTCTAGTGTGGTCGATCTTCTTCTCGTACTCCACCACTAGCTCGCGCTTCGCTTTTTCAATAACCCGCTGCACAACCGCATCCTGAAGCTTGGGAGCAACATCTAGGCGGTTGGTAAGGTCAATGACTTCCTTCTTCAGGCGCTTCTTCTCAGCTTCGGACTCCGTAAACGTCTCATCCATCTCGCAATGCCTATCCTCGGTCTTCTTCACGGCAGCTTCGAGATCAGCAACGCGATCTTCGGCACTCCTCTTCTGCTTCTTAAACTCGTCACAAGCCTTCTGAGTAGTAGCAAGCTGGCGAATCTTTGAGCGGGTAGTCACCTCGTAGTCGACGGCGACTTCGTTAAGCGAGGAGAGGAACTACCAAGTAAGAAGATCATTGCCATCTAGGAGTCGTCGAGAGGTCATACTGTCATACAGTGAAGGGCCATGCTTGAGTAAGAATTATTCCTCGACATTTCTTCTGGAGGGGGAAACTTAGTGCCTGGAAAGAGAATCTTAGACAGATGCGACGCCGCCAGCACAACACTGCGAGAGGATCCCTTCGAACCGGAGGGAAAGGATGGATCCTTCGCCACGTGATCACGTCGAGTCGCGGTGCGCCTCGATCTGCTCGGGTCCTCTCCGTCAGAAACATCTTTGCCCTTGTCTTCTCGGGAACGCTTACGACGTCCCTGCATCATCATCCCTTCTCCTCGCGCCATCGTGACGCCTCTACGATGACTCATATCGACGATCGGTTACAACGGCAACACTTCGCTCTAACTCAGGACGACCCGACCTAGGTGCAAGTGTTCCAGTAGTGCCAGCTCTGGGGACTGATGTCAACGATCTAACTTCCTGAGACAATCTCACGTGAGACTCTGTCCTGGCCTCGACAGCTCTCCTCTTATGACCAGATGGTTTTCTCGCAATGTCTGACATATCTAGTGGCGAATTCAACGAAGTAAATCCAAAGCGACGAACAAGTAACTCAATTCGCCACTCCGCTGCACCAAAAAGCAACGATCCGAGTTAGTCTTGCTCTGCGAAGCCAGCATTGTTACCGAGTCGCCGAGCCACCGAGTCACTGAGTCGACGAGACAAAAAAAAAACTCGGTGACCGAGTTGACTCAGTGACCGAGTTGACTCAGTCACCGAGTCAACTCACTGAGTCAACTCGGTGAAATCTCAAACCACCATCACCGCCGGTCACACCTCGCCTCGCCTCACGGTGTCGCCGCCGGTTCGCCACTGGCATCGGAACCGAAATCCACGCACAAAGACGAAGCTAACACCTCGCGATCTTCACCTCGATCAGATCTTCCGCTGTTTCAACGTACGAAGACGAATCTTGGGCTCGACGATGTCGGCGGAACTGAAACGCGCCAGAATCATTCACGAAGCCGACACCTCGCGATGAGGACCTCGAACTGCAGCCTCATCACAAACTCACCGTCGCAGAGCCTCGCCGATTTCTGTCTCTCACTTCACGACGCTACCTAGCCGGAACTAGGATCTCATCTATGCCATAGTCAAGCAGTCACCTCGAACCTCCGACTTGTCACAGCAGCTTCGTCGGCGACGGGAAGCTTGTCGGATCTCTCTCGATTCGCGTGTCGCTTCATCAAAACTTGCCATCGTCACGACTCCTCGCCGCAAATCTCGTCTCTGCCGTAGTCTCGCGTCGACGAGGTCTATGCCGGAGACCGAGAAGGGCCGAAGGAAGACAAAAAGGTGACAACGTGAAGGGAGGGGGCAGCAGCTCGAACAAAGGAAAAAAAATCTAAAAAAAAATAATAATAAATAAGGAGACAAGAGGGAGAGCAGATTTTTACCTTTTATTTAAAAAAAAAAAGTGAATTGGTAAAAAATAACGCAAAGGAAGCAGACTTATTTATATTTGGAGGATTTTCTAAAATCATTTTATTTTTGGAAAAATTCTAGAACTTTTCGAGCAGGCTTCAAGGCCTACTAGTGTAACAAGACCATCAACTCCATCAGTCCTCCAAGGAAAAGAAAAAGAAAACAAGTTCAGGAAAACACGCTGACATCGGCTCAACGCGGAATAGCGGAAATTTCTCGAGTTCGGTGACAAGACGTCCACGCCTGGCAACTTCGCAGTCCAACATATCGATCTCAGACTTTAGCGACTTTTACCTCGGTATCATCATAACTCGATACTGTAGGGGTCGGATTTCTTCCCTATGAGATCGATATAACGACGAGATCAACTCTGCAGCGCCTTGACGAAATCGGATCAAGTCTACAGAGGTCCAGTCTGAATCTAGGCCCAAAATAACATTAAACTCATAATCAAAATGAGCTTAATGAAATTATGGGTCTAAATTATATATATTGCTTAATGGGCCAAACCCATTTTATTAGTTGACCCATTTACTTAATAAAGCTATATATATATCTCATTGTACTAACCCAAAAAACGGTCATAACTTTTGGCAGAGAAACTCTCTTGTAATCACAGCTTAACATAAACAGCAATAAAGAATTCATATTCTCAGTCTTTGTTCGAAGTGTGTCCGCGACATAGAAATCTCTAATCTCCTAAACAGCCCTTGACAATTTTAACTTTGCAGATCCGGCTCCCACAGCCGTT